GATGCCATCCGAGAGTTCCTCCGCGTACTTCTCTTTCGCCTCGCGCTCAAGCTTTGGGTCGACCCTTCCCGTTACCGGGTTGGTCCCCAAAGGCCTCCGGAACAAGAGGATGTGCGGCTCCGGCCTTTTTGGCGCCGCGCCAGCGGGAGCGATTACACGAATCGGGGTAATGCCAACAACATCAGATCCAGGGAAAAAAAAAAAAAGGTCAAGCAAAAAATATATTGGACATCGAGCGAGAAAGACGCATACAAGAGCGAGGGACCGGTGACCTGCAAGTCTTGTGGGCAGACTCTAAAAGGGCGGGGGGCAAAGGGTCCGGGCGCAAGGTTTGATGTTGCCGGGGAAGGGAAATCCTCTTAGCCATCCGGACAGGCTCTTTCCTTCCGTACACGTATATAGGTCCGCCATGCTTTTTCTCCGGAACGGCGGAGGATCAAGGACAATTCTGAGGGGGGAAACATGACAACGACAATACAAGCACAACGTGTGTACGCACAGGCATCGTGGATACCGGGACAAAAATCACGCCAAGGTTCATCGCGTGGGTCATTTCCGGGGTGCATGTTTTTCATCATCCCGGTGCTCGACAACCACTTTTTATAAGCGCGTGCGGGCTCCTTCCGGCACTTACGTATGTACGGCGTAGTGCTGCCAGCCACGGCTTTGCTGCACGCCCAGGTTCCTCCATTCGTCCTCGGTCAGGAGGCGCGACTGTGGCAAGATCTTGGCGGTCTCCTTGGGAAGGATGACGTGCCTGCGGCGGCGACAAAGCAAAGACGAAAATCACCAACGCCGTCGTGAAGCGCAGTGGTTCGATGGCACCAACGGGTGTGAATATATTGCAGGTCGACAAAAAAAAAAAAGGATCGGGGTAAATGAGGTCTGTTGTTGTGCGTGGTTCCAGGAACGTATCGATGTGGGCCGTGTTTCGCTTCAATTGACTTAACTGATGAATTACTTACTTTTGCCGATTTATGAAAATAAGGCATCACAGCAGCAGTAGTATTGCCATATATGCTCTGGCAGAGGGTTTTGGGAGTCAGAGGACTGTAGAAGTTCGTGTGTGGGTGTGTGTTGGTGGGATACGGCGTGTCCCTGTAGGTGCGCGGTAGGTAGCCAAAAGATTTTTCAGCAAAAAAAAAAAAAGTACTGTTGGTACCTTCCTTCCATGAAACGGAGGAACACCGGCGTACTTCATTTTTTTTTCTTATCTCGGGCGGGTGTAGTTTTGCAGAAAGCTGTGCGCACGACACCGGCCGCTAGCCCCTCCGCTTTTCGCCGGGATCGAAAGGGAGACGCACAACCGCAGTAGAGTACTTTGTCTCGTGTCATGCGGAGACTTGGTGGCTTCGTTGTAGTGTGTGGTGGTACGGGTGTGTAGCGTGTAGCCAGCGCACACGCACCACGTCAGCCGCTTGCCGAATGTATGAATGGCCTGCACTGTCAAGAAATCGGGGCGTGATTGGTGGATCCATGGTAGATGTCGGAGACGCGACTTTCTGCCCTCGCTAGTCCTGCACGCAGTCCGCCCCGAGGGCGCCCGGCAGGGAGAGCCCTCGCAACACAGGGTTATCGGTAGGTGCAAGTCTCGCTTCGAGGCGAGGTCTACGGGCGGAGAAACCGCGAAAAAAGGACTCTAGCCTCACGAGAGCATCAGGATTGCATTTCCTGCGATCTCGTGAGCCCTCAGCCCGTACTGTAGGAAATCCGTCTATAGGTCTATATAGGTCTATTTGCATAAAACCGCTCTTCTTCGCTCCGTGGTACATACATACTATTAAAAAAAAAAAAAAAACGCAGACAGAAAGACTACCCGTTCGAGATATACCCACAGTGTAGTCGAACGGGGTATGGTGAATGTACAAAGGACGATCAACCGCGCCGCTCCGTTCCATCAAATGCTAAATTTCAAATTTCGGAAAAGACATGGTACTTTGGAACATCCCTAGAATAATTGTTGGTGGTGTTGGTGGTCCTTGTGATATTAACGATGAAGGCCTGTCTGCCGTCTGCGGTCGGAGCCTTCAAACACTCTTCCCACACAGACTGCCCACAGATCTTTTGCGCCTGGAGAGGGTGTTCTTCTTGAAAATTCGTAACCTAAGAACCTAAGAACCTGCAGAGAGCCTATCTGCAGGTACCTGGTAGGTTGTAATACTACAACCAAGTATCGGCACTGTTGTAGTCCTCTGGGTGGCCATCCCCGGGGGGGGGGGGCGGGGTATTTCCGTTGGAGAGAGCTTCACGAGGGCATCTATCATGGGAGAATGAGAGAGGAACAGATGGGTAAACTGGGATTGAGACCCGACGCTGGTTGATTGGCTGGACGGAAAAGGGCTCTTTAAATATATTGTGAGGTGAGACGGCGCTAACAATTTTCATTTTTTGAATCTGAAATCCCGAAAAACGCACGCGCTGTCGCTACGGGAGATGAAGCGCATGGCAGCCGACAAAAAACCAGGGCGCAGGATGTCGCCAACCGCACGCCGCGTACATAGCCACGCGCACGTCCGTGCTAGTTGCGTTTCGCTTCGTGCCCGGCAAAATCAAACAGAAACATTCAAAAGTTCGTGGGCGAAGCAGCCCGTCCCGCCCGTTGGCTTTTTGCAATCTCCACAGTTACTGAAGCCCGTTGTGTGTACTTCAATTTCCGTATGCATGAAACTCCAACGCCATTTGTTTTAACGGCTTCCGGGCCCTTGGACCAGGTTCACGCACGCCGCGTCTCAACGGGCGCAGCTGACGTGTACCCAGTAAACACGAACGGCTGCACTTGCAGCGTCTTAGTCACTGAACTACCCCCGGTTACACGCTGTACAGGACCCCGGACCACGGAGATGGTGCGGCCAGGAATGTCCCTCCCTCCCCGAGAAAAACAAAAAAGAAAGAACCTGACACAACACGTACATCACCCCGTAAGCATCAGCAGCAGCACCAGTATCAAAAACGGCAGTAGCGGCAGTAGCAGTGGCTCCGGGGGAATACACTTGCTGCGCCGTGTGTACTGCTGTGTGCCTTTTCAGCGAAGAGCACCCTCCTAACGCAACACCTTCTTTCCGTGGTCTCGGGTCGACATTACCGCTTTGCAACTGCCGTCCAAACCTCTCTGCTGCTTGCTTCGATCATGCTGCTGTCCTCTGTGTGCGTGCAGCGTAGATATCCCTGAGCTACGAGCCAACGAACCCTCGGTGGTGCTCACCTGTATTCGAATGAACCATCCACGTACTTCTCGCTGTAATCGATCCTATTCATGGTAGGGAGAGAGAGAGCTCTGGTCGGTGTGCCGCAGCCGTGTGTGTGTGTACAGCAGCAGCAACAAGCGCGCTTTCCCGAGAGTTGCGGAGATTCGGAGAAATTCGGAGATTTGTAAGTTTGAAAGAGGAGAGAGAGATCGAGAGGGAGACCACGACGGGACTGTCATGTACACTGGTTATTATGCGTTTGGATCTGTGGGTTGGATGTGCTCCGACCCGCATAGAAACTCTGGAGCCCGCGGGGGAGAGACTCTCGAATCACGGCAACTTATCGCCTCCCTAGATCAAGTGGGGATTGGGATAAAATCACCCGCCACCCGTAACGGACTGCCGGACGTTCGCCGAGACGCTGTGTACATGCGGTAGATGTAGCATATACGTCTGGCCGTTTAGTCTACTGCTGTAGCAGATTGTCGTCTACTGTAAGTGCTGCCGTTGTATAGTGGTACACTTCATGACGTTGACGCGCCGCTTCGTACTACAATACAAATTGTCGTAGTCTGCAGGAGTGTGTAGGGGGGTCATTTCTTCTCTCTACGTAGCGGAATCGCCGAAGAACAGAAACAGGAAGTTGGCACGGCATCTACTGTAGAATAAGTACTGCTGATGATGCTGTAGAGATGCCTTGTCTTGTTGAGTTATATCTCTGGTGGCCGCCGACTGCTGGCTCTGGTGCAGATTGCTGGATACAGTGGCTACAACATGCAAGCAAGGCGTGGGAGGACTTGGTCAGGTACCACCGGTTGTGCGACGCTTTTGTGTATTTCTGACAAGTGGTACATACATATACCGCTGTGCATAGATAGCCATGATGACACCACCTGTTTTCGTTACAGAATGGGCCCGCTACGTGAAATCATTCACCAGCTGACGCGAAAATAAGAAAAGGTAGGGAGAACAGCTCAGCCGTGGGTCCTACATTACCTCTACATAGTATCCTGTGCTCGGCGGTGGCAACTTCACTCGAACTTGACGTTTCGGGCAGTTTCTGCAATAAACCCAGTGGTACTGGACGTCGTTGGTGCCGGTTGACTATTTATTGAGATGACTACGAATAACAACAACGCACCATATACGTATTTCTACATTCAAGATCAAAGGGTTGGAGTAACCAAAGAGTCCTTCGACGGACGCAGCGCTATTCTCCACTCCAACCTCTGCTCAACTTCCTTTCAATAGTATCCTGTATCTGTTCTATAACCGATACCTGCTTGTCACCTGAGGCCGGTGAGAAAATTGACAATACAAAAAAAATCGCTATTGTGCCGTTTTCCCTGCCATATCAAACCACAGTCCCCTTCATTCACCGTACAAAGGGCAGAACCCGTACCTTGATGGCATTCGGGACTTACCCACTTCACTCTGAATCCAAATTTGCTACTACTGACTAGGCAGTCATGACGGAATGATCTAGCAAGAAGACGACCACGTCTGTGTGCCATCCTCACATCGCTTACTGACACGACAAAAGACGATGCCACCGACACATACTTCTCGACTGAAGTGACAATGACAACGACAGCAGAAGCAACTACCACGGTGGTTGCCTCGACATCAAACTGTTAATAAGTGCATGGTAAAACTAACGCGAACGGTGCGGCGCGGTTATTGCCCGAAACGCGGGCAACAGACATGACTTCGCGTGTAAGGCACTGAGAAGACAACCCCACCAACGGCAAGTGCGAAAACCCACACACCAAACAGCAAGTGCAAAGCGTGCGCATGAAAATCGCTTCCCTTTCACAAGCAAGTGCCAGGCTTGATCAGTGAATGCTTCGGTTCCGACAACCGGGTTGAACAACACGGCAGGAAGCGTACAACTTGGTTTCGCAAGAAATCAGTAGCGGCCTTACCTGACAAGCTACGCGTGATTCATAGCTGGATTCATGTACGTTCTGTACCTTCTATTTTGGGCGGTGTTCATGCCCGCTTGAACCGGGTGGGTAACACAAAATCATCCGTTACCCGGGCCGCTGTCAACAAAAACGCCTGGCAACTTCTCCCCGAAGTAGACCTTGGAGGTGTTGCCCATGCTGTTGGTTGTTGGCGACGTTGGAAATTTCGTTTGAAACCAGTCGCGTTCCGCACCAACGGATGAGGGGAAATAGGGTGGGCAAAAAGGCGAGAGAGGAACAAGTCGGCGCACAAAGACAGGAAGCGGGGAGAGGGGGAAGGAGCGACAGAGAGGAGAGACAGAGACCGAAACGTAGAACCAAAACGAGGGGCAAACGCGCACGCAAACGGAGGGTTTCAAGGGCGAAAAAGCTCCTTGAGTGAGACGCTGTTCTTCCTGATGCCATGCCAAGTAAACACGATTAAGTCGTGAGCGACAACGGGAGGGAGGGGGGGGGAATAAGAACTCTTGAAGCAAAGCAACTCCACCATAAAAATCGAAAAACTCGCCCGGGCGAGCGTGTATGATTTCGTTTGGTATCCATCCGCACCAAATCGAATACACCAACGTGCCTAAGGGTGAAACATGACCAGACCACCATACAGGATCGCCGTGGGCACGCAATCAACTAATGGTAAATGCCAATGTTCAGAGGCGGCAGCAACAGCAGCGTGAGTATGCAGAGCGTCGATCTCGGGAAACCCCGTGTGGTTCATGCGATGGTTGTTCAAGTCAAACGACAACCTGAGTATCCTGGAGTACTCCAGGAAACTGTCGGTGAGAAGGCGGTCGTTGGATTCGGCCTCCTTCATATGTGCGTAGTAGACCGCGTCAGCGTACGCTTTTTCACGGCCCAAGTGGATCTCGTCCTCGATCGACGCGATCCGACGGCGCACGTCCTTCTCCGCAAGCTCCTTTTGGTTGCCGTCGCGTTTGCGGTGAGCGAGAGAGCGTGCGAGACGAGACGACCGAGTGAGATCTTGTCGTTGTGCTTGCTGCTGCCATTGTGGGTGTTGTTTTGTGTCTGTTGCTGTTGCTGCTGGTGTTTGGGGGGGCGGTGCAATCGTGGGCGACAGACAGGATCCAAGACTTTGACAATTTTTGTAACGCAAGATCGACGGATGTGAAAACTCCACGACATGCACTCTGCCATCCATGCCTATCACGGACGGACATTGGAACCGGCTGTCTACCCACACACCAACCCGTTTCTCGTCTCAGCGCGGGGTCGTAACGTACGCGGAGAAACACACGTGCCGCTTCTAGCATAGCATCGCGTGGTGACTACAACCTTTGTGTTGCCCTGGGCGTATCGAATCCAACGAGATTTTCATCTCCGGAACGTCTCAAACAGGGAGAAAAACACGCGATTGCGCTACGCGCTTGCTGGCTGCACGCAAAGCTTGGACATCGACAAACCTCTTCGTATTCTCTATCCTATCGAGGAAGAAGATAGACGTTCCTTCCGTTCCACCGGGATCGTGGGTGGTCAAGTAGACGACAAAAACAGGCACTGTTCGATAGCAACGCTATCACGGCTTTCATTCTCAACTGGAGTTAATTCAATGCAAACGTCGCTCGAAATGTTGAAGAAACGCGGTGGACATGGGAAGGGAACGACAAACACCACTGGGAACATTTCATTCCATCCCGGACACCATCATAAATGGTGATATCGTCAGCGGGCCAAATCGCCGAAGTGTTTGAAGGCGTGCAATCCGACCCTCTAGTGCAACGGCAATCTCGCTGCGACCAATCGGGACAGTTTCCCCGTTCGGAAGTACGCACGGCTTCCAAGAACAAGCCTTGTAGCGTTTGGCATTCCACCCCGCCGTTGCCAACCCTTACATTCCTTCCTCTTTTTCCCCCTTCTTGGCTTCACCTTGTCCATATTGATCCTCGAAACGTCCGAGAGCATTTGCGCCTCTATCGTCGACTTTTTCCGCTCCGTTTCGGCCTCCTTCTCCACCACCCTCTGCGTCTCCATCGCAATCAGCAGCTTCGTCTTCTCGGCCTCCATCTGCGGTACAAATAACAATCGATCGACGCCCCACCCTGCCCAGCATTACAACATGTTGAAGTTGGAACAAAGGGTCTGCGGTACAAATAACAAATCGATGGACACCCCACCCAGCCCAGCATTACAACATGTTGAAGTTGGAACAAAGGGCCGTGTCCGCCACTGGTCCTACTCGCTCCAGGCCAATCACTATTCAGGGGGGCATCGGCGGGCTTCATCAGCTACGCATCGAGATATTCGTGCTCTCGGGAGAAGAGTGAGACGAAAAAGAGCGAGCAGGTCGGCCGTTTGGCCGCACGCTAGCCTTCGGAGTCGCATATGCTATGCCTGCACACTCGCAGCCCTTGCACCATTCGAACGGGATACCCATACCGGTACCGGAGGAGAAGGTAGAATTTCCCGATGCCAATTCCGGAAAAAAAAAAAAAGGGCGTGCCTGGTCCAAGACATATCGAGCTGCCGCTACCGCTGCTACCGTAGTGGCATGATGCGAGGCGTGCGGCACACGTCCGCTCGTTTGACCCGCCCAGGTCGCCAATAACCGCGCCTCTACGTGTTCAATGGATCACGAAAAGTTCATCACAGAGTAGCGGGTAGCACCCTTCACTACAGGGCATTTGGAAGAGTTCTCGAAGGAAGCATCTCGGCGTCGCTTTATACTTCTAGCCCATGCCCCACTCCCTGCCCCGCCAAGCCACATTGGTGGGGCGATGCTGTCGACAACAGGACAGGGAAAATGTACGCGAAGGCCAGGTAGGCGACGACAGGGACGTCGTGGGAAAGACGCCCAACAGTGTCAATCAAGTCACCACTTCCACCAATGACCTCCCGACTTCACGACTGATTCAACTTCAAAGATCGTCTTGCGCCCTTTGCGTTATTTCGTTACTGTGCGGAATGAATATGGCGGGAGTGTTTCCCGCCGCACGTGGCACAAAACGCGTATATACGCTGGACATCCGCCGGACAACAAAAGGCTGGCTGACGCACAACTCACCCAACGAGCCAACCGCACCCAAGCACGCACCTTTTCGAAGTTCTGTCGAATCTGAGTCGGTATTCTCGGCTTGGTCACTCGGACGGAGATTATTTCAATGCCTGGGTGGTTACAGTCCACGGGAAATGTATTCAACGTGCCGGATTGTCGGCGAAACGGAGGAGAATACTACCGTAACGGAAGATCACGTAAGGGTTAGTTGTCGCGGAAAACGCGACACGATGTTGTAGCCTAAAAGCCATGTTGCGATATCCGACTCCTGCGTGCGGCCGGGGCGGTTTCACGCATGGAACCTTTGAACAGCCTGGAAGGGATAGGCCAGCAGCGGTAGCGCTATCGCAAATCTACAACAACAAGTCCGCTACGACGGGAGGGGCAACAAGACGTGCGCCTCAGCACGGGAGAAAGAGCCTCATTTACAGTCAGTAGACGAAGATAGCGAAAATAGACCACACCAGTGACACCGGGGATATATTGTAAGAAAAAGAAAAACAGAGGAGAAAACCAACAGCGTGCACCTTTTCCTGACCGGCGATTGAAACGCGAAGAACCAGCGGATGCAATACACACTCGCGGAAGAGTTTTCCAAACAACTATAAAACGTGGTTGAGATATACCTCTCTCATGCTACCGACGGTGCATGGAGTATTCTTCCCTGAGGATTGAGCATTGGGCATGTGGGCATTAGGGAGCAGCGTCCGACGGGGCGAAGCCCATCAAGATGAAAAGCGAGAGGCTTGTCGCAGCTTTTTCGTCAAGCCCGTTCAAGAGCGTTCAAGCACCGTCTAGAAAAATCATACGCACGAAGACCAGGGCGTGCTGCTGCAGCCCCAAGACACAATCGCACACCTGGAGCCCACACATCACAGTCGAGCTGCAATGCTGCCGCGAGGTGCTCGTCCAACGTGTCGAACAGCGAGATGTACACCTCGTGCAGTGTGTGCTTGCTGCAGAACTGGTTTATCTCGTGACTGTTGCGGGCGGGTGTGTGCGCACGTTCCAGGCAGGGTAGTGGCGAGCAAGGTTTTTAAGGGAGGAAATAAGGAACAATGGCAGAACATGCAACTAGTGCAATAGCTCACGCTCGCCGCCGAGCAGCCATTTCGCGTTGCATGACGAGACGCAAAACAAACTGATCAACAGTAGCTGAAGCCGAGAAGGCAAAGCGGGGGGTACGAGAAGAGAGGTCGGGAGGGAGGTGGGGGCAGCGGCGGATTGTCGTGGAATACCCGTTATTTGAAGAAACAGGGCCCTCGGAAGCAGACCCCTTTTTGTGCTTTATCCTGCCCATAGATGTGCAAGAGGGGTGTAAACCCGTTCGTTCGTTCGTTCGTTCGTTCCTTCCTTCCTTCTGCTGAGTAATCTCCCTTCTCGGGTATCCGTGCGGAACCCCAACCGATGGCGCTGGGGTCGCAGGCGGTGCAGCAACCAGAGCTGCGCGCAGCTTAAGGGAGACCGAGGCAAAACAGGCCAGACAAATTACACGGGGTCCTAGTTGGCATATGGTTATCAGCCCCGTTTGGCTGGCTCACTGTATCTTGTCGAAGATCCACGTGGTGTCGTAGTTGACGGTGTAGTTCCGGATGGTGTCCAGCACGTGCGTCTTGCGCAGACGGTTCACGACCTCCACCTTCTCTGCATCGGCCCGCGGCAGCCAACCAGCCCACCCGTTCGTGGTCACCGGCGGCAAGCAAGCAACAGAGACAGAGACAGACAGGGAAACGGCTGTCAGGACCAAGGGACGTTCGGTTGTACCCTTGCCCCATATTAGACGAGGCTACCAACTTCTGAAGCCGGAGAGAGGTGCCATCGCTCTCAGAACTTGTTTAGCATACGCTAGGTGCACCACGAGCAGCGCCTGTGCGTCGATACAAAGGAAGGGTAGCACCAAAGTTCGGCCACGGTGTGTCCCACTACGTTCCTGTACGGCCCACACACCCATTCATATAATTTTGTGTCAACGAGGAAGAAACACTCCTGGAAACATCGAAAGCATCGCAGCGGGAAGGGCGAAACAAAATACGTGTGAAACACTTGCGTGCCGAGCACACGCATGCTGGTCGGTTCAAGCCAAACAAGCACTCCATGAATGCCGAGCACAGCAATACCTGCAGCAGCAACAACGACAACGACAACAGCAACAGGAAAAAAATAACAACAACAACGACGACGACGACGAGGACAAGGAATTAGCGCATCGCGGAGCTAACATCGCAAGTAAGTACGCACCGAAATCTACCATCACGCCTCCGCTTGTCCCGCAGGGGATGTCCTTCACCGCATCCGTCTGAACCGTCACCTGTATCTCGGCCATGCTCGTGAGAAGTGGTATCTGGACAGGCGTGCGGTGGACGAAACACCCAGAGCGTTTTTGGGGGAGGAGAATTTCTCAGGGATGAACGACATACCAAGAACATATGCTAAAATTGAAACCTTTGAAAACAAATAAGGGGGGAATTGAACAGACGCGCCACGAGCGGAACTGGCAGCAAACACACAGTGTCACAACGCCGCAACCGCAGTATATGCTCTACAACCAACAGCAGCAGTGCTGCAGCCAGCTACGTATCAGCCAATTCCTCTCTACACGCCTACCTGTGTGTGGAAACCTGGCTCCGCGACCGCCCTCATCAGCGCTCCTCCTCTGTAGTAAACTCCTACATGTCCTTCGCGGACTTTGGAGAAACACGAGAGAGAGAGAGAGAGAGAGAGAGAGAGAGAGAGAGAGAGAGAGAGAGAGAGAGGAAGAGAAACAGAGAGACAGAGAGAGAGAGAGAGAGAGAGAGAGGAAGAGAGAGCGAACAACCATCACCAAACAGACACGGAGGGCTCTACGTGGAGTGGCAGCGCGGGCGTGCGCGTCCAGACGAGCAGCTGTGGCTGACAAGATCAACAAAGGGTGTGGGGATGGCCGCACGGATTTTGTGGTGGTGGTGCAAAAGTTAGAAAACAATAGAGAGGCGGGTATCAGCCTCACTACAATAATAGAGCAAAAAACAATACTCTTGTTAACAAATCACGACATAATGAAGCCGACGTTTGTCGTCGCAGACGGAACAAACCGATGTTTGTTGTGTAGCGGAGGAATTCAAAAACGCATAATTCCTGGAAAATCGGGGTCACGAAGAAAAGAGATCTACCGCTGTCATAAATAGGCATTTTGGGAGGAGAGCAAGTAAGTCACAGTCGTACGTCCTTACGCCTGAGAGGACGAGAGAGGACCGCGGAGTACGTGAGCATGCCGAAGGATTGAGCCGCTTCCCAACATAGGTGGACACACAAAGTAGCGCCTCGCTGTCTCACGCGGGCAGAATGTAGCCTAGTTCGCTGGCAACAAGCAACTAGACTCCCACGACTCCCGCAAGGAAGACCGGATGGGGCTGCGCTTAGAGGACACAGTGGCTATCACGATGAGAGAGTGAACCCTCTTGCACGGATACGGAACTACGTTAACGGACCGCAGCCGGGGGTAAGAGCGAGAGGTGGGGTAGTCGCTCTTGTTCTGGAGCTGCTATCGTGTCATGCGACGTTGCCCGTCTCCGCACCGCCATCTTCATACACCGCGACGTGGGAGGGGCTGTACGAGGAGCAAAGTGCAGGAGAGCGCTGAGTGCACTAAAAGATATTGTTGCTGAATCTGGGAAAAATCCTTGACACTATGCACTACATCCTCTACGTCTCGCAGGGGCTTCGGTTTCGGCATTGGGAGGGATTTTTCCGAGAGTGCAATTCAGAGGAAAGGAAATGGTGGTCGGACGCATGTAAGCCGTACGCTCAGAACAACATAGAGGACTCGGGACGAGTGTCCCAAAGACTGAAAAATGGGAGTAGGTCGGTAGGTAGACAGCCGGGGGAAGGAATGATAGAAAGGTTGACTACGACGTGGGCGGTAGTCCGAAGTAGACCTGGCCTTGGGTGTAGTTCAATAGGGACTTGGTCATTCCACACCGCTGTTTGCAGTAGCAGTACAATTTCCCTGGCTGAATATTGCTGACTTGTGAGCAGGGAGAGAGAGAGAGATAAATACTGTTTTTTGAGGGGTGGGCAGGCCCGAGGCTAGCGTGTTTCAAGCGCCGGTTCCTACTCATTTCCCCTCTCAATCACTGGTGATGTACAAATTTGATCCCAACGAACCCCCTTGATTGTTCTCAACACATGTTGGGCTGCATCCTGCTGGTTGTGTTATTGCTGCTATAAAATATGTAACACACCATCCATCAACACAAATGCTCGGTGTGGCGAACATTGAATGGGGGTTGTCGCCCTCTTTGGACTCCTAACTCCCTCCTCTTGGTCCCCGCCTCTGTGTAGCAGCAACAACGCCCCACCCAACGGTCGCCGATACAATAAATCTGTGCTAAAATACGATTCCATCAGCAGCCTGGCTGAACAGGTAGTGTGGCGATGTTTTTTCTATAAACACACTCCCCTTAGATGAATCTTGTTTCTAACGTTTTGGGGGTATCGCACGGCCAATCATGTGTCTTATTGGGACGTTTCTTTTGTTGTGGCCAAGATTCAGCTTTTATGCCTCTGCCATTGTCGTTATAATAGCCTAGCACGTTTGAGCTTGTTTTGCTTGACAATTTTTTTCTTAACTGCGGGCTCGTTCTGCTGTAGGAGATTGAGCCAAAACTAGGACTGGCCCATACAACTCCTCTGCTGGTAGTGCTATTCCGCAAGGTTCCAAAAGGTTCCCCCTGCTCCCCGCTTGACGGGCAAAGTGGCAAAGTTCTCCCGGAGGTAACACCGACGGTAACCCCAATACCTCCGGAACTTTTCCGCCATGTTTGCCCGCAACCGCGTGCGGACGTTTTGGATAGTGGTAGATTACTGTACCGCGCTGTGTGGTGTTGTAATGGTACTCAATATTGTCGTTCGGTGGCTCCGAATTGTTGCTCAGTCCATCCTGTGAGAAGCGTTGCTGCTCCAACGTCGTTGGTACACAGCAGTGAAGCAGTGATCGGCACCAAAAATGCGGTGGAACTGCTGAAAAAAAAATACCGATCTCTGGACTGTTGCCCTCCGAGAGTGTTCGTCTCCAAATGCATTACAGCATCACAGCGTATCCACAATCGATCGCTGGTGTGCCGTGCCTCATGCACAATGTCGCATCATGTGTTTTCTACCCTGCCCGTGCCCAAGCTTGCGCGAATACCTCTGGTACGCGTCGCTGTTCATCAATACGATCCAACAGCAGTCCAACAGAGGATCGGGCAGATACACGCTGTTTTTTCCTCGTGCATATTGCTTACCTTTGTGCAGTCCCAATGGCAGGACAAACACGTAAATGAGCACAGCTGAAATTCCAAGGATCTGCAGCACCGACGGATTGACCATTTCGGAATGAAGCGCGGCCGGGATAGAATGGCGGAACAGACAGGACGGCGGACCGAGGCAGAGGGGGGCCGTTGGGCGGATCTCTCTGTTCTCTAGAGATGTACCTCGGCGGCGCAATCAAATATTTGCAGTGACGGAGCCCCCGAACTTGGGTCTACCACCCTGCAATCTTCAAAAAATGCCGATATCAACGAATCAATGGGAGGCGGGCAATTCAATTTGATGCGCAATGTACGCAGGAAGTCTAGGCCGATATTTCATCAGTGTGGTCGTTGATCCATGGTCCACTCAGTCAAATCCTCACCACAAACAAACTTAAACTTCCCACTATTAATAAATGCTGTGTACAGACAGACTTGACCACAGGCCCCTCGACTGAATGTGGTGTTATCTCGAAAGGATCATCTTTCTTTAGTTGTATGTATAGTTTCTAAACCCAACGATAGGTCGACATGTCTCATTCCCCCAAAACACGTTTCTTGCGAAAACATCGGTGTTTTGACAAAAAAACGAAAAAAAAAAACAGAAAAAAACTCGCGGGCATTGATTGGGTGTCGTGACGTTTTTCTACAGGGTATAACAATATATATATTGGGTAATAGCGCGCCCGAACTACTGTAAGCGCCCGCTTGGCAGTTAAGAAGTCGAACATAAGACACTCGAATCTAAGAACTTGTGCACCATTTGCGAACTCGGGTGGGTACAGTAGTAGCCCTACACTAAACCCTGTCTTAGTGGCCATTTGCAGCCGAACCCTTCGAGGAACCAAGACCAAGAACCCCAGCCTCGCCCAAAACTATAAAAATAATAGAGGTTCTCAAGAGCGTGGGCGCTAATTGTACTCTAGCTATATTAGACCCGTTTCGGCTGCATACCAAGGCATCGTCCGCTGCTTGCTGCTGCTGTGGCGCCGAGCCCACTACGCCTCTTCCCCGAGCGCGCAAAGGTACGGCACGGCAAACAGGAGCAAACACTACACGAGCGTACGGTGCCGAGGAAGCTCGCTGGAGTCTCATCCTCTGGCACGAACGACCGATCAAAAACGCATCGAAGGCAAAGCACCCAGTAACATTGCCCGTTCCAGCCATACTTAGCTACGCATTCTCACGAGTTGCCCGGCGCGAAACGTGAACAGTACCACTCCAGCACCACCGTGCTCAGACCCCACGGCATTCTGAGCATTTTCGTCGTTTCCATCACAGTCAGTGATCGGCGAGACTGGTTCCAAGAGACTCAGGAACACTACCCGCACCACTAAGGAAGAAAAAAACGTCCTGGGTGCGGGGACGATCTCCACACCCGCACACGAAAGCAACTAACGACTCTAGCCGCTTAGAGCCTCGCGTAAGACGTGCTATCGCTGAAGCGGCAGGGAAGAACCTTCTCGTCTTGATGCCGAGCTCTAAACGCGACATGTGAGATGTCGAAGTCCACACGGAGCGAGAGGGGGCAACGGAGCGGAATCGGGTTTCGCCGAGGTTAGTTCGAAATATGAAGTTGGTGACCAAAAGGCGGGGTTGGAAGGGGGGGGATGTAACAACAGAATTTGGCAGCAACAGACATTCGACACTACTACAGCCCCTTAGCTGCCTGCGCACAGGGCTGGGGCTGATCATCAACACAGCAGTATAGGCGCCGCCACACGTTAACCCCGATGGGCACGCGCCACACAACCACGAACAAGCAAAGCCGAGAGAAAAAAAGCAGGAGAAGCAGGAGAAGAAGAAGAAGGCCTCGCCTTTGACGGGGCCCAGGGGTTAGCCTCGAACCCGGACGCCTGTCGCGCGCTCGGGAACTCGGGGGCGAGCTCGATGTCCTGCGCCGGCCAGATCCTCTCCAACAGCCGCCACAGCAGGTGGAGCATGGCCGCCAGGAAGCAGCACACCGCCTGCCCGAACATGCCAACCCTCCGGTACGCCTTGTGTCGAACCAACGGGTTGGTTTGCCAAGTTGGGGGGGTCGGGGGGGGGGGTCGGAAGGCGGGGCCAACGTTTAGCGTTCTTCTCATCGTCGACTCTTGCCCTAGATACACACGTCCGTGGGGCGGGGGAGGGGTCAGGGGATGCAGGAGCGTAGTTTCGCTCTGTCGTGTACGACCGCCTTCCTCGTCCTCAAACCCATCCGCTGTGCGCGATACTTGGCTTCTTACTCTGTAGAACAGCAGGAGAACACACGGCACACATGGCACGGGAAAATCCCCCGGTGCAGCAGTAGTTATACCTGAAACCGCCGGACGAGACTAGGCGGCGGGGCCTTGAGCGCTCTCTCGTACGCCCTTTCCGTCCGCTCCGCGACGTCCGCCCAGCTATACATGTCCCTCACCTGGTAGTAGGTTTTGCGCGCGGCATCACGTGTCGTAGTGGCGGAAACCGAAACACGCTTGTACAACCGATAGCAAGAACCGGGAGGACGAAAAATTCTTCGTGTTGCAAAATCCAGTGCCTTAAGCCTTTCGAAGAACACCGACAAGTAATCCAGTTCGTGGCCGGACCGGTGGCGGGGGGGGCGCTGGTCAGCAAAGGTCTCTCGCGGTTAACTTCGATGAAAACACCAGCCAAATTTTTCGTTGTCCCTTTTCGTGAAATGCCGGACCACGGACGGCCAGGTCTGTCCCCGACTACTCCGGTCATGCGCGTCGCAAATCCCTACGGCAACCAGAAAGCCTACCTCAGAAGAATCGGGTTCAGTGACATCCAGCATTCAAAGTTCTCAAGAAATGGCGCAGAGCATCCGGTCGGTCGGTGCGTGGGCAGTGGTCTCATGACTCTTGCAACTGACGTCTCACCGTTCGAAGGAGGCCGGTTACAACCATGATCACAGTTTCCGCGCCGCGAATGTTGTCGTACCCCTGTTACTACATCTGCCGATTAAAATTCTTCGGCAACGTGACCCCCAAGCCACATGGAAGAGCAACAACACCCACGCCCCCCGATACCACACACAAACTACCACCGCCACTACTCACCTTCGCGTGGAACTCGCTAGGCACCGCTTTTCTGGCCAGGGGGATCGCGTCCGACAGAGCGTCCGTCAGGTCCTCTACCGTCGGCTCCGCGAACTTGATCATCGGCCCGGGGAGGACTTCCGGGACACCGCCGACGGCCGTGCTCACGACAAAGAGACCGCAGCTGCTTATCGATTCATGTTTTCGTTAATAGTATCGCCCAGGGGGGGGGGGGGGGGGGGGGGAGCATAGGGTAAAGGAGGGAGGGAGGAAGAGCGTACGAGAATTGGAGAGGCAGAGCGAGATGGGGTGGTGCGGGAAAAGATTGTCGGACCTCGGCGGATGAAAAGAATGGCGTTGGTGTACACGAGGAAGAAACGACACGCACTAGATACAAGTTGGGGACGCATCGGGAGGACAAACTAGAGGGTGATCGTGGAACTCACCCTTGCAGTTTTCCACAGGGATTCAATGAACGCGTTATAACTGTCGGCTCTCAAGGCAGCACACCGCAACAGACCCGCAAAGCAGCTACCCAGGTCAACACACATCGCCGTGCCAAAGCAACGCTAAGCCCAGCCACGGCTCTCTCCCCTCCGTGATGGCCCCACCGTCCGCCTCCTCGGACACCCGTACCTTGCGGCCTCTAGTATGGCGATACAGAACGACTCCGTGAGGCTGCAGTTGAGGAAGATGTGCCCCCGGACGAGCACGCTCCGGACCCTTGCGTGGGGCACGGCGCCGAGGATCTCGACCCGGTCGTGCAGCTGGCTCTTCTCCCGCATCTCCTCGAGGAGGAGTCTCTTCGGGCCGTCGCCCCCGATGATGAAGTGGAGGTTTGGGTAGCGCTCGCACATGATCTTCGGGTCGGGTTGGGTCGGGCCGGGGAAGAAAAGAAGGCAGGAGACAAAGGGGAGAAGAAAAGAGCAGTAAAGAAGAAGGCAGCAGAGAGCAACGGGTAAGCACGAGGAAGAGGACAGGGGGCAACAGCGGAGGGGGTAAGGGCGTCCGAGACACCGCTTCTCGCGCATGAAAATGGACGAGAAGGCAAGCCGCCGCAAATGGAGCAAGGATGCCACCTATGCTCATGTCAATCACGTAGCACAAGACGGTGGGGATGGGGGCATAGACCGGACAGAAGTCAGCGTTTGGGGCAGTGCTCGCGCACAACTCCGTTGGACAATCGGAAGCCGAGCTAGAAGCACCCGGCAGAGCAAAGGCTTGGACGTGGCTTGCAGGCGACGAGGACCTGGGTGCTTCTAACGCACAACACGAGAGAGCGGCCCCATCCCCGCAAGACGGCAGTCCTGAATCTGTCGGTCGAAACAGACAGCAGCGTCGTGAGGCGCTACCTTAACTTCAAGTAACCACAACAACACAGCAGTGCCAAAAAGCGTCTACTCATCGGCCAGGGAGGGCAAGTTCGCCCGCTCGTGCTTGCGCGCTTGACGTTGACTTCGACTGGTTGTCCTCCACAGGGTACAGGCATCCCTCGGCGAGATGTACCTTTCGGCTCCTTGCCGTAACGGCTCTCTCTCTCTCTCTCTGTCTGTGTTTGTACCCGAGACGAGCAATTTTCAACGTTCCCCCGCGCACTTAAGGTGCTCAAGTTCCAAGATCGCCCTCCGTAACCACGGTTCGCAGGATTCCTGATACCAAACACTACAGCAAGGAAAAAGGGTGTCAAAACAGGCAATAGTATCTTTGTTTCAAAGGTTATTCGCCGCCATTCTGCGGGGGGGGGCGAGCTGTATGCACCATTGCGGTACACCGACCTGCTCACGATCGAACAGCCTTCTCATACAACCCCCTTGCCCCAATATCCTCCGAGAGAACCGTGCACATAGAAAAAAAAGTACGACGGTTCACAACCAGCTACCGATCCGCAATCATGCTATTGCCATGCGTCATCGTGGGTTGCACTGTCCACAACACCATAGGATGGGAGTCGCGTGGAATTCCTTCTGTAAACAAGGGTTAGCCACTTGCCTTTACGACGGGGGCGACGAGGTCTATCCCCTTGCGGTACACGAGCCGGCTCATGATGACGACGTTTATGGTGCCTTTCGGGAAGCGGGCGGAAGGGTCCGGCGTGAACTTGGAGGGGTCAATCGCGTTGGGGATGGTGGAGATCTTTTCCGGCGGCAGGGTGGCGCGGACCACGAGGTTCTCTCGGCAGGTGTTGCTCACGCAGATGGCGTGGTCGACGCTGCACATTGTGAACTTCATCAGCTTGTTGAGGTGGATGCTGGTGGGGAAGCGGGGGGTGGGGGGGCGCAGGGCGTGGGTTGTCACAGGAGTCGCGAAAGAGTTGCTTGAGCTCGAGAAGAGAAACGCCCACCATCCGGCAGCGTGGGCAAACGTGCGAAACGAAAGGGAGCTGGAAAAGCGGAACACCCACCAAAACTGCGGGATACACCTCACGCGCGCTCCTGCCGCAGAGGCGTTGGCACTTCCGCGTTGCACCACGTACAACGAACGGTCTTTGGACCGCAACCAAAAACAACCACAGCGACACGCCTCACCTAGCCGCGTCCGCGAACCCGAAGAGAGAGTGGTCCGTGTAGGCCACCCGGTAGCCCATGGTCTTGGCGAAGAGTATGGCCTCGTGGGACATGACGGAAGAGGCCTGGTGCCCGTGCACGAGCGTGATGCGCTCGCGGATCAAGATCTGCCGGAAGATCGGGAAGAACGCGCAGGCCGTCGGCATGCAGTCCCCGTCGACCACGGGCACCAGCGGTACGTAGTACACCTGTCATGTGGGCGTGTCCTTGTAATTTAGGGAAGACCCGTGATGGGCATAGGTGCACTCGCCTGCTCTCTCTCTCTCTCTCTGTATCTACAGTACACTGAAAAAAAACGCTCTTGAGTTGCCTCACGTGTGCTTTTCGAGAGACAGCAGTTTCACGAGGAGGAGAGAACGAGGGTGCGGCCTCACCATGCCCAACTTTCCTCTTTGCCTTTTCCTTTTTCGAGGCGCCCCGCCTGAACAAATTCCGCTGTGCCCTGGGCCGACTCAAGGAGAGGTCGGGACGGGAAATCCTAGCCTCATTATACGTAACAGCACTGCTGTAACTGCTGCAAATTACGTGCTCTTCGATGGCCGTTGCGTGCCCCAAGAAAGCACGTTTGTACCGACTTCCGACAGAGCAACACCTGAGAGGAATCAACCGCGTTTTTCCAAGCAACCAAGACATCTTGTGATCCCGTGATTTCGACCCTCCCCCCCCCCGGTGTTTGCCATCGGGATTGGGTTTTCATCGCTTGGCAACGACGTTGTAAAACAACCCCCCCCCTCGGCGTTTGCCATTGGGATTGGGTTTTCGTCGCTTGGCAACGACGTTGTAAAACAAGCCAATTCACTTCGTGAACTCGGCAACCAGGTTACCGTTTTTTGTTTTTTACCTCTTTTTTGTTTTGCGGTAACCATAATGGTGGTCGAGTAGATCATGTTGTGCGGGGTCGAGAACCCTCACTCCGCGCAACGGGGGATGATCGCACCACGTTGTGTGAAAATGGTAAAGCTTCCTCGAGGCAGTTACACAGTGCTTACAACTGTCTCTGGAAGTGAAAGCACCAGAAAATAAATGAAGTCATCCGCAGCTGTCGCCCGTACGCAAGGAAGTAAGCACAAGATGCCGAACACCCTTAGCAGGATGCAGCTCACCCTTCATGCGACTCGCCGAATACCTCACGGCGCTTCGCGCTTGGTGATGTGAGAGCCTGGTCCGGTGAGAACCCGGCGTGCTCCGTCCCGGCTTTGTAGGGATGCGAGGTCAATGGTCTAACGACTACGGCATGCACGACTATGAGTACCCCCCCCCCCCCGCCCCCCCCGCCCACCTTGAGTCCGTTGGTCATGTACCGCACTCCCTTGCGGTTGTCGTAGCCGTGCGTGATGACCACCACCCGATGCCCACGCCGCAGCAAACATTGGCTGAGAGACCAGATGTGCATCTCTACCCCGCCCAGTCGAGGATAGAAAAAGTCGCAAACCATGCACACACGGTGCCTGCGCATTGGGGTTTAACGACAGACGACAGCATCGTAGGAGAGGAGGGTGGATCAACTCGACCCGATCAACTCAGTACATGTGCCAACAGCTTTAGCCAAAGGTGGCGCGTTTTTATTGCAGCAAGGACACACACCCAAAGACGGCAACACTCACGCAGAAGTAGATGCGAGGTGTAAGCCATTTTTCCTCTGCACTACGATTATGAGGCATGGATACAGCATTGCCGCTTGTGGCCTCTTATACAGTATCTCCTTTGCCTGCACGTTGGATGTGGACAACCACGGCAGTCTCTCTGCTGGTCCGGGGGCTTCTGGATGCACAGCGGTAGCAGGTGCACAGACAGCAGCAGTCGTGGCAGCGTCTTTGTGTAACACCACCGTCTCCAGATACAATTGTACCCCCATACAGCAACAACCACGCAGACAAAAATGCGATCTATCAGGTGGCAGAACACCGCAATGGCACCCCTGCCGCTCCGAAGCGAGAAGCGAAGCTACCACAGAACTTGGCAAACTGCGTGTCGTCAAGTTGCTGCTTTGTTCGCACCGCTTGCTCCGTTTGCGCATCTTAGAGGATCGCTTCGGGTTGTAGGTCAGCTCGGCGCCGTCAGCCCTGTCCCCGGTTTCATGGCCGTGCATTTTCCTGTTGTCCCTCTCCATGGAGGCGGCAAGGTGTGTGCGTAGCTCGTGCGTAGAGTTGATGCGCGGTGATCATACCGCTACTGCGCCGCCGATGTCCTTGAGTGGCACCGGTTCCGGTTTAGAACCAAAAAAATCTCGCCGCATGAGCGCAGCCAGCGCTACATTACGTGCTACGAGCATGTGTATTATGCGTATCGTGAAGTACGTGCCACATCACAAACCCACTAGCAGCTAGAACTCGCGGGGTAGCTACTATCAGCTACAGCGGGGACACTCTACAGAGAGCGACGAATGGCCCGACTCTCGCCTATCGTACGCCGAGCTAAATGCCCCCAGCTGCTGCTGCTACTGCTGCCGCTGTTGCTGCCCCTCGCTACGGGGTTTGCATCCTCTCGTTGGTTGATCACAGGCGCGTCAACTGCCCAGACAACTGGATCGCCACAACAGCCGTGCCGCCAAAGCCATATCCATGGTGAACCACGCCGTGCGTCAAACAGAGGCGACAGCGGGGTTACAGCACCCAACAACCTACTGGAGCAGGTGCAGAGACGGACAACGGTTTGGGCGGATACAGCGGACTTGAGTACCGTCGAACAACTTAACCATGACTTGGGGTTGGTGGACGTCACGACGAACCCATCCATCGTTGCTGCGACCGCCCTGCAAGGCGCTGGTTCGGCGGGGAGCCTCCTGGTCCAGGTGTGGTTTATTACCATTAACTTTAGCGGAAGGTGGTGTTACAGATGTAGCATGTCGACTATGCTACAAGTCAGCGTACCCTACAAGTCAGCCGCTGACTTGTAGCATAGTTAGTGGATATGCTGTACATCCAACAGGTGGCGCACGTCATGTATATACACGCGTCGGGCAACGATCGATCTGATGGCCTATGCAGACCATGTTTCCCCTGGCCATGTCATACGTTCGCGATGGAGCCAAATGTTGCCGTGAGAACAGGCCGCGCCTCCCAGCGAGGTCCCATCTCTTGTTACAACGGCACTGAATGGTGTTTGCCTAAATGACCCATTCGAATGTGCAGACCCCAAGCGGGTCTGGAGCAGCATCAAAGCTGGAAAGCCACGAGCGCATTGCTGTGGACATAGGTCGGCGCCTTCTTCAGGTTGTTCCAGGAAGGTATGGTACACTGCACGTCCGCTACACAACGAACGAACTCGTTTCTATGGGAACCTGGATGTTCCTTGTCCGATGCGACGATTCTCTTTTGCACAGCAGTTAACTCGTTGCGAATGAATTAAGCACTGAACAAAGAAACACGGAATGATGTTGATATACGCAACAGTAGTAGTTACGTCGTGATGTTGGCGTATCTCGCTGGCATGTGTTTTCATTTCGTGATGCGCCCTCTGATAACTTTCCATGTGCCGGGCTGATCGATCGGATTGGAAGGGTGTGCACCCAGTTGGACATTCGATGTACCGATGCCGAAAACATGGTCAAGAAGGCCCGCGGTTTGGTGAGCACGTACTCGGAGGTGAGTGGAACACTGCACGGGCCGTTGGTGTTGCTCTGTTGCCGTTCTTTCGGTTGGCACGGGTGTCGGTGTTGCTTCCGCCGCTGTCAGCCTCTGTCGTTTCGCGTAGTCGTTTCGCGTATGTGGTAAGCATTCAACACCGTCTGGTACTACGGACGACCAGCACCTCGTCCGAAGTGTACTTACCTTGTCTGCGCTGTTCGCACCAACGATGAGCGTACGGCAACCAGAAGTATACCTTTGAGGAACGGTCCAAAACCCCGAGCGCTTCCCTTATACGCATGTGCTTCCCATAAAATCTGTTTTGTTTTGCACACGATGATGTCATTCCAGGCCGGCATCCCCCGAGAGCGAGTGTTGATTAAGACGCCAGCCACCTGGGCTGGTATTCGAGCGACGGAGAGGCTGGAACGTGAAGGTATCAGGTGCTTGGTAACCCTTGTCTGTTCTCGGGTGCAAGGACAGGCGGCTGCGGAGGCCGGGGCTTCAATAATAGCAACATGTGAGTTTTGCTGGAGGCGAAAGGCGAGGAGACTATGTACATCTTTTGTCGAATATTACGCATTTGCTCTAGCGCTTACGATCTTTTCTCTCTCTCTCAGAACTCGGTCGGTCGAAGTGCTGACAAGTCCAGGAAGGGTGCAAAGGGAGCCGTCATCTGCACAACGTTGATTTTTTTTCGGTTTTGTCCTCAGCGGTCGTAATACACTGAAAGCAGAGGACAGCATATCGCGCACATTCCTCCTTCCTGGTTGTGGCTTTACCGCGTACAAACCTTCAGAAGCTCTTACTTGCTGCTGAATACAGTATTGTGGTGGCCAGCATGGAAACAAACATGCCACAACGCAATTTCTAGAGCGGCGTATGATTCTACGGCGTACATGCCGCTTTCGCCCGGGGGCAGTGGTGTCTTGCACATACTCGACCAAACCCTGACTGCAGGTCCCTACTCTAGTCTGAACCTTTACGTATCAACAAATCGCGTACCCCCCCCCCCCACCCGCCCACTCGAAAAATGTCAGATGTGGGGCGCGTTTCTGACTGGCACAAGAAGGCGGCGGCCTCGGAAACAACCGGCGGTGCCCCCGCCCCGCCCGGCACGGCAAACGCACCAGCCTCCTGCGCGAGCGAAGACCCCGGCGTAACGCTGACCACGGACCTCAAGGACTACTTTGTTTCTCACGGATTGCCCACAGAGGTCATGGGGGCAAGTTTCCGAAGCGCCGATCAGGTGGAAGCTCTGGCGGGGTGCGACCATCTTACAATAGGTGACCGCTGACGATATCGAGGAGCAAGAAGTAGCGGAACCATGCGGAGTGCTGTTGCAAAAGCCAACGAAGAGACAACTATGTTCGCGCACCCGCCGTGAACGCGGCGCCGGAGAGTGTGCGTATTCGACACGCCAGCAACTTTCTGCCAAATTGAATACGCGCCGTGTCGTGCTAGAAAGATCATTTTTTGTCAGAGAGGTTTGATGGGCACGTTCTATGTCTGGTCCGTAACAACATGAGGCAGACTTGATGAATGGAACCCTGTATATCTTTCACTCGCCTCCCCCACTTCCGTAAATCGTCAGAAATGCTGCAGCTCTCTCACTCTGCGTCCCCATCTCCCTGTCTGTCTCGACATCCCGTTGTTGCACCAACTTGCTCGTTTATTCAGCTCCACGATTGATCACAGAAATGGCGCGACTTCCTCCAAGAGTCGGTACGGCTGGTGTGCCCACCAGCGGAAACATGCCCCCAGAACAAGAAACGCGGAGGCCGAGTGAGCCGATGAACGGAAACCCGTCGAAACCCGACGAGGAATCGTTTCTCGCCGCCCTGGGTCGAGACACGTGCGGCACGGAAGTGCTTCGGTCGAGCGTCGAAGGCTTCGCGAGGGACACGGCGGCCCTGGAAGCCGCGGTCGCGAAGGCCGAGCGGTAGCTCTCAACGCTTGCCGGCCGCAACGCAACCGTATTCAAGAGACAAATATGTGTACGCACATTTGACATCGCCGTGCGCATGGGAGGTATTAGATGGCGAGAATAATCCTTTGGCCTACGAAGAAATCGCAATGGGTGGAACACGAATGGCCTGCATCCACTCTTACCGGCATACATGCGCGAAGCGCGCGGGGTCGACCATCATTTGCCACCCCAAGGCTCCGCCCCTACAAAGCTTATAGTACATACCATCAGCCGGCCGATAGCAAGCGCTTACTTCTTTCCAAGACAAGGCGACGGAAATCGTCCAACCCAGTCCGTGGGCCTGGTGAGGTAGACTGTTCATCATCATTCAAGTCGAAAACGCAGAGCGTAGGGTTCTATGTCCTGCAGGCACAAGCCACCAGACCAATAATCTCAAAAGGGACTCGCTACCCTCGAGGTTGAGGCGCTGCGAAAAGGGGACACCGTTCGACGGCATGCGCTCCGACCCGAAATCAGCAGGAGTAGCGAGCACCACCGCGGAGTAGGAGAGGGCGGTGCGAAAAAAAGAATCAACACCAAAGCACTCTGTTAACAAGGAATCCTTACTGTTGTGGTCGACGTTGAGACAGTCTCTCGGTGCTTGGGAGCTCAGCCGAACTGAACGCTTCCGTGTAGGTTAAAAATTGTCCACCATACAAGTCAGAGAGAACTCGGGCAACAGAGCACCCGAGAACACAAAATGAACCACCCAGCTATGTATTTCTTAGGCTCTCGCGCAGCCCCGTCATTGCTCCTCGTAAGGATCTCTCTCTTGTGGCATCGAGGGCTTCTGTGCTGGCGGCGGCTCCAGTGCGTCGGATACAAGCTGGTAGGGTTTCGAGGAGGGCGTACAGGAGCAGCAAGACGACGGGATCCCCAATCAGCAAAGCGATATTTCTGCAAACTTAATCCAACCTACAGGCTACGACACCGGTAGGTGCGAGCAGGGTCCGTTTACCTAAACCGTCCTCTACCCATGTACGCGGAGAAGCGCCCGTTTTGAAGCTTTTCAGAGTCACGACAGGGTTCGAGCCTTTCCCAAAGCAATTGTTGGTCCTTGTGATCTGAAAAAGCTCTTCACTTTGTAGTTACGATGTTCAGGTAGCCGGTAAAGCCTAGTATATTGCAACGTACAGGCCACCTGCGGGCAAGACCTGCATCCCGGCCCCACCTTTAGTACCGCCTCCTCATCCGTGTGATATATTCCTCCTCTTGATTCCATCCGCGACCCATCCCAGTCGATCGAAACACACGGCCCTAAGCCGCACATGCCCAAACAGGGGCACGTGTCCAGCTGCACGGCCGAAAAAGAAGTCGGACGTTATGCACATGCCGTGCGTGCGAGAACAGTCACGGAGAGGGTTCGAACCAATTAGCGGCAACAACTGCTGTCCTAAGCACATGGGTACGTTGGGTAGCTCATTGTAATGAGGGAAGCTCCCTACAGAAATGATCTGTGTGAATCGTGTACGGTTGGTGTGGTTGATGGGTCGGGTCCTACGCCATCAACGCAGACTGGCATGGTGTATGTAGTCGCGGTTGGGTCCCACGCCAGCTGCGTGCTATGATTGCCCAAAGAATGAGCTCGCTCGGCGAATGATCGGTCGCGGGCCCTATGGCATTCATGTTTTACCACAAGAAGAAGGGCAAGATCCAGGTGATGACCTGTCTGTATTTGGTGTGGGTGATACAAGTCCGGGTCCAATAATGGTGTCATATCCACGCACCGTCGTTGCCCGAAGTGAGCTGCATGCGGCGGGGACGACTGTCAATCTGTCATTTTTAGCATGACCTTGCACAAGAGCAGCTGTAGCCATTTATCACACCTGGATGTCTTTCCCCTTCGCCACCTTCTTAAGTCTCGCCAGCGTTTGATACGCCCCTTGTTGGATGCAGTCCTCTTCCGTACACACGCTTAGCTTCGCCGACGGCAGCAACGCAGCAGGTGAACGCCTGCTGCTCCAAACACCCTGCTGGTGGAGAGGTTGGCAGGGCTGGCAATCCATTCGTTTCCTCTCCAGAGGAAGGTGTGGCTGTGGCTGTGGATGGGTTAGTGGCAGCAAGAACGCTAAGGCAGCGCCTGCGGTCATGATGTCTCGCCCCACGTCCGCGTGTCCCTGATCTCTGCTCTCTCCCAAACTCCCTAAAAGCAGCATGGGCAGGAGCGGAGCGGGCCACCGCAGGTACGCATGCGAAGAAACGCGTTTTTGGTTCTATTTCAGAACTACAGTAGTTCAGAACCCGTTTAGTTTCAGCGCGCTGGCTCGTAGAACTCGCAGAGGGCGTGACGACGTGACCACGCGACCACGGTGAAATGGAAACAGCCCATCATCACATCATCACACCGCCCCAGTTCTCCCGCTTCCTCTCCTCAGACACTAGCACTGCGACTCAGAAGATGGCCCACTTGCAAGGCATGGACGCTACCGAAAAGCGAGGGCGTGTGCTTCGCTTGGCGCAGGAGGAAGGTGAGACCCCTTGCAGCAGTAAGTACAACGCGCAATCTGTTGGCAACTTCGCCTCATTCCGCCTAAATAGCCGCAGACGGGAGCGCACCGCTCTGACTCTCGGGCACTATGCACTGCTGTGCGCCCGCCGGATGGACCCAAAACGCAGGGATGAAAGCTGGGGGCCTAGCGGGGCTACTATCTTGCGCTGGCGTGGTGGCAGCTAACAAGTTTTCCCCGTGGTGAGTCGCTGGGCTCATAGACGTCTCTTCGATGAGTCTACTCTTTCTGGTCTATTTTTAGCCTAATTTCCCGCGGCATACTTACGTATATCTACAACACAGCCAGCAGTATGCTACACAGCCAGCAGTACCATATGCTGCTGTGATTATGCGAGCACGCAGGTCTTGGCGAACTCTTCTGGGGTCCATTTTTGTTTGATTTCTAGAAAGGTGTAGTTAGTTAGCTTGTGACCACGGCAGGGTTCCGCGTCAGTTGGACCAGTAGGGACATTAGAAGGCGCTGAGCAGAGGCAGGAACGGTTTTTAACTGATGTGAAGACAACATCAACAATCCATCACGACGATGCTGCGGCCGATTGCCAAGCATTGGTTGGGTTGCTCCACAACCAGAGGGTGCCAAGCCCGATGGCCGTGTGCGAAGGAGCGCTCTCGACGAGACCTTTCCTAAACCGCCCTTTCCGGCGTTCCTGTTGGTTGTGGAGCAAACGGGATGCAGAAATCGACCACAACCCCCGTCTGTGCGGTCTTCCGCACGGCTGTCAACACTCCTACCTACGGTGGTGCTTCCACACGGGAACGAAGAGTTACGCCAACAAACGCGGTCGATTGCTGCACTGGTCTTCCGCTAATGCTAAATAGACAGCTGGTAGTTCCAGGTTTCAGCGCTTTGCCTTTCAGCGCGGAACTACATGTATATCGGCATTGCCCGACGCAACTCAGGACACCCGGCAGGTGCAAGTGTTGGTGTATCTTATGTATGTCGTGTTGGTGGGAAGTTGTCGCTGAACCAACTGGCTCTATTGGGCGAACCTCGCTGCCGCCTAAGCTGGCTCCAATACCTCTTGCCCGCGGTGTCGTCTATGGTTCAGTCAGTATGCAAGGGCACACACACATACACCACCCCCCATTGTGACAAAAGTGTTGAGCATGTCATCTTGCGTCATCCCTGGGATGCTTGAAAAACCAGCATCCCGAAGAGAGCCCTCTATAACTAGCGTTGGTACAGCAGGTGGGGCCTGAATTTTTTTAACGTGGTTTTAGAGAAGCAGTAATTTTTGCTCCGTCCGTCTCCGTCGTCTTGGCCGCATGTTACAACTTCAACCCCTCCCCTCAGCAGTTCCGTCTTGAGTGTGTAGTCCCTCTGTTTTTGCAACGCACACGAGCGATCTGTCAATTTTGTCGCGTGTAAACAGCAGTACCGTATACGACACAAGATATCACACCCCCTGCACCGATTTTCAAAGCTCGATTACTCCACGACGAAGAGGATGCACAAACGAAAAGATACGTTTTCGGAAAGCTCTCGACAAGGCGGCGTCAACGACACCACTTTCGGCGCTGTGACTCTCTCTGCTGTGGAGAAATCGAGCGTTGAAAATCGGTCCAGGGGGTGTGTTATCTTGTGTCGTATACGGTACTCGAGTTCACGGTTGAGACAAGTATAGAAGTGGCCAATCCTTGCCTACAAATGCACTTCAATGAAGAATGCGAGGATCGTCGAGGGGCGCGAAGTGAGAAAAAAAAAGTCCGGTGTGGCCTTTCACCGGCGTGACCGCGGGTGCTCGAAAGTGTGCCAGGGCTGGATTTGCCTCTACCCCGTGCTTGTTGTCGCGGTCACGTTGCCACGAGGGTCCAAAGACGCACATACCGGAAAGGTGCAAAAATGGATGTCCAGATACGGGACACACGCAATGCCCTGAAGCACTTTCGTCGACCACCATTAGTTTCAAACGAGCTTCTTTATGTTCTTTGCCTTTTTTTTTTCTTCGCATCTCGCGGAACTCGCCATGCCATTCACCCCATATGCGTGTCACGAGCGATTCTTCGATACTCTTGTCCTCCACTATTTTGGCATTGACGTGCACGTCCGACTGCAGAGAAGACTCGTTCCTCTCCCGCGGCTTCGTTTCCTGGCCGATCGTCACTGCCGTCACGTGTTCTTCGGCGAACGTAGCAACCGGGCGTACATTCATGTACCTGTTGACCAGGAGACAGCTGTAATACAGCAGCATACTCTAACGTGCGCAGTGCTCGAAAATTGGTTCTCCGATCTTGTCTTGACCCCCCTCGGTCGTCCTGGCGTTGTCGCTTGTTTTATTTTCGTGACCTTTGCATGTTCCCCGGTGTTTTGCGCGCCCTCCCCGTCTCTCTCCGTGTTGATGGTCTGTCCTCTGATCAGGTTCCGCAAGTCAACCAGTGTTAGCGCCAAGACGGCCTTGGCGGTTTCTCCGTTTTTCCTCTTCTGTGAGTGGCGAAGAGTATCTTATGTCTTGTATCCCCCCGGTTAGCCTTTTTTTTTTCGTTTTTTTTTTTCGTTTTTTTTCTTCTCTTTGTTTGGGTAGAAAAAGAAAAAATCGCGCCTTGGAGAATTTTTTTCTGGTGTCCATTTTTTATATTTGGAAGGTGTACCCCCCTTGGGGGCAGTACGGATATTAGAAGGTACTGAGCGGAGACCATAACGGTTTTTAATGTGAAGACAACAACAACAACAACAACAGCGGTAGACCGCGTACGTCTCAGGCCTTCGCGGTTGGTATCGGCTGTTGCCATTTCATCTTTAAGGAAGGATCATTCCCGTATGACTGAGGGAGAAAAATGCTCAGTTTGTCTCCCGGTCGTGAGAGTGACTGCTCCTGGTGTGGTTGTCTTGTTGTACACCCCAGCGTGATGTGTTGGCTGGCCGTGCGGATCGTACAGCCCCGAGCGGTATGGGGCGCGTTTTCATGCTGATACCGAACAATACTGAAGGCACATGGTTATATACCGGTGGTCCCGCCATCTCAACTGATCGATCGATCCCTTGAAAAACGCCGAACAAAGACGGCAGAATGGTGTTGAGATGGCAGTGATCCCCAACAGAAATGATAAGTGTATGTCGAAGAAAGTCTCATGAGTACTACCCCCCCTGGCCCCCACTCCGGGCAGGTCACCCCCCCCCCACCGCCCCCCCCGGTGTTTGCCATCGGGGTTGGGTTTTCGTCGCTTGGCAACGACGTTGTAAAACAAGCCAATTCACTTCGTGAACTCGGCAACCAGGTTACCGGTTACTTCTTTTTACCTCGTTTTTTTTTTTGGCGGTAACCATAATGGTGGTCGAGTTGATCATGTTGTGCGGGGTGGAGAACCCTCACTCCGCGCAACGGGGGATGATCGCACCACGTTGTGTTAAAATGGTCAAGCATCCTCGAGGCAGTTACACAGTGCTTACAACTGTCTCTGGAAGTGAAAGCACCAGAAAATAAATTAAGTCATACGTAGCTGTCATCCGTACGCAAGGAAGTAAGCACAAGATGCCGAACACCCTTAGCAGGATGCAGCTCACCCTTCATGCGACTCGCCAAATACCTCACGGCGCTTCGCGCTTGGTGATGTGAGAGCCTGGTCCGGTGAGAACCCGGCGTGCTCCGTCCCGGCTTTGTAGGGATGCGAGGTCAATGGTCTAACGACTACGGCATGCACGACTATGAGTACACCTCCCCCCCCCCCTCCCATCGAAGACCTGCTTCGAACAGAATTGGTGATGCACGGGGCGAACCACGACCCTCACGCGTACGGCATCGTCGACGACGTCGTGGGGTCTGATGACACCACCAGGAAGTCGAAGATCTTGCAGCCTCGCAAGGAGCTCAACGCGGCCCAACAGTTGGCCAACTGGTGCTACGTCAACCCTTTCAAGATGGTTGGTGAGTGCCGCCATCTACACGCCCATCGTCTATGCGTTGCCGGCGTGTTTTTTCTTTATCATGGGAGTCCTTTTTTTGTTCCCCGCAGCAGCACGCTGGGCGAGCGATCTTCGTGAAAGAGGCAAGGAATTCAAGACAGGGAGATTTGTGTGCTCACGTGTTTATTTTTGTTCGGCAACTGCCGCGCCGACCGGTTGGCTCACGAAAAGGCTTCGTGCGACCCCCAGTGGGACGAGCGCAGAAATAATTCGAAAGCATTTTATTCACATCGCGGGGGGCACTGGACGCAAGGGCCCAGCCTCCGGATCAAAGACGAGGTACTGCGGTGGTCCCGGTATAGTGCCGGTGCGATCCAGCTGATTTCACCGGCAGTATTGTTGTGGGCAACCGGCATTATACGCAAACAAGTTGAATATTCCATCTGTGCCAGGCGACGATTTCACCGGCATCTTACGGGGCACTATTCGACCGGCATTGTTCCGGGACCACTACAACTGCTGCTACACTTGTTTTTAGTATAGGAAAAGATGGTGGCCAGCACCTCCCTCCTCTCCTCACCTCCTGTGGTTCCTGCTGCTCGGAGGGCGTGCTCTACTGCTGTACTACGCGTGCCTAGAGGATGTTTTTTTTTTTTTTTCCAACCGCATCAGCGCCGTCCTCACGAAACGCTTTCCATTTTTTTCCCCTCTGCGATGCCCCCGCCCGCCCCCTCCTTTGTTCGATTGCTATTGTTGTTGTTTTTTTGTCTTTCTTCCCAGTTGGAATGGGCGTGCCGGCGGTGGGAGGCATCTTGTACTCGATGCGCAACGAGGGCAACCTCAAGCTCAGCCAGAAGCTCATCCACACCCGGGTCTACGGCCAGATGACCGTGGTGAGCATGCCACGCAGTGGTGGTGCGGAGACGACACAGGATGGCGTTCGCCTCCTCTCTTTTGGGACCCCTCAACCTACATTTTCTTGGACAGAAACCGACGCCTTTCTTCTGTTGTGCTTCTGTTTTCAGCGAGAGATCCTGGTCGTTGCTGTTGCTTTTTCGGTACGACGTCCGTGGTTTCTCGCGTCTCCGTCCAGACGGCCAACCCAAATTCCAGATTTTTTTGTCCGTCTGGGTTGTATTTCTGCGATTCCGAACCATTTCCAACGGTCTTAGTTCAGACTGCCTCTTTTCCCTCCATTTTCCCTCGGGGACGGTTCCCGGCGTTTATGTATCATTTCTCCCTTCGCTCACCAGTCTTTTTTTGTTGTTTTTTGTTGTTTGCTTTCTCGCTCCCTCTCCATCTCCCGTTTGACTCGCGAGAAAAGGTTTCGATGGCGGTGGCGATGATGGCGTTCCAAGAGACCATGAGGCGTAGAGGGGGGCTGTTCGTCGTCACGGAGGCGGAAGAGGAAGAGGAAGAAGAGGAAGTGGAGGGAGCGATCGTCCCAAGATCGAAGTAGTTGGAACCTCATGAAACGAGGCACACTGCCTTGCCGCCGTCGCTGTTGTGTCTAGTAACTGCCAAGAGGGGCGGCTCTGGACGAGGTGGTTGGCCTCTTGACTTAGAGAGACCTTCAGATTATTTTTTGGGTGGCCGGGAGGTTGGCGACGTTTTGTCCTTGTTGGCTGGGTGGGGTGTATGTTTGCCTGCATGTATGTGTGATTTTTTCTTTGTCATAAAACATGTGTGTGCGGTGTTCAATGGTGGACCTCGTAGAATGTAGATGATACGGTATGAAGCGTACACCACCTGTGTGCCCGTTTGAGTGAGGCTCGTGAACATCTAGCTGCCCGGGCGGTGCGATCGAGCCGCCTCTCGTGTGCTTAGTTAGCTGCCTGCTCTCTTAGGTGCCCTAGAGAGAAAACGACCACCTCGAAGCCCACATTTCGTCTGTCCCCGCTTTTCTTCGTACATGTAGCCTTGCATGAGGGTGCGTGGCCTTTCGTGGGGGTATGCACACGTGCAAGTGTGTTTCTTTTCGAGACGCAATCTGAGATTCAGGACAGCAACGCCAGCGCTTCCGTGCAGGGATCAAAAGAAAAACGACGATTTTTTTTGCGTGCAGGTGAACAAATGTTCTGTGCGGCCTAACCGCGCGCGCTCTCCCCCCCCTCGATCTCTGTTGGCTTAATTAAGATGGGTGGTTCTCGTAGTTTGATCGCAGGGTGAACGCCTCAAAGAGAAGAACATAGATGATGAGCATAACGCGTTGTTGTTGGATTGAGTAGGCCTGGCAAGGACGTTCTTGACGGCTTCTTGCCGTATGTTTTTTTTGTTTGTTTCCTAAACAAGCCAGCGGCGTGTAATGTCGAATTGCGTGTGTTGATGTTAGTGTGGATTTTTTGCCTCTACGTATGAAACGACAAAGTTTTGCAACTTTGCTTTTTTCCCATCCGGCACGCGTAAAGCATCGTGCCCAGTAAGTTACAGGTTGTGGGTCCAGAAAAAATCGCGTCCGCTCATCGAGAGACCCTGTACAGTCCCGAGGGCCGAAGTATGGAAAGTGTTCCAACATTGGGGACACTTCCATACCGAAGCCAAGTCAGCATTTTTTTCCAGTACTCTTCATGTACAGTTATACCAACAAGGCGACCCGTGGCTTGGGAGACTGTGCACAGCGAGTCAGACGCTAAGGAGAGGCTCACCTGCATCACACGGCAGTATATCACACAGCGTACCACCTCGCACGAAAGCATGCTAAACCAAGGTTTTCCAAGCTCGTTCCACGCTGCGGAGCATAATGACGACTGGTGCGGTAAACAAGCTTCGAGTGCTGCGTCCCCAAAGTGTCCCCATGTTGGGTTCCATTCCAGTGCTACAGTAGGAGGGACACGAGGATGACACTGGGTGCAATTCTTCTCTCCACAAATAATCTTGTCGCAACTGCCTCGCCTTGTTGGTCCATGTCGGTGCTCTTATGGCATGCCTGGCCCTCTAATTGCTTCCTTCTCTTGGTTTAGAGAGCAAAGCAACACATAAAGCGCACGTTCAGCTCGTATGAAAAGAGCGTGGATACGGCTTTCCGGTAACTTTCGTTTCCATGAATTGCTGGAACAAACCACAAACGGCAGGCCAGGGCCGGCCACAAACAAAAAACACCCCATTTTCGCGTGCCTCTTTGCGACCGCCCGTGGGGGGGTGTACTCACTCATAGTCGTGCATGCCGTAGTCGTTAGACCATTGAACTCGCATCCCTACAAAGCCGGGACGGAGCACGCCGGGTTCTCACCGGACCAGGCTCTCACATCACCAAGCGCGAAGCGCCGTGAGGTATTCGACGAGTCCCATGAAGGGTGCGTTGCATCCTGCTAAGGGTGTTCGGCATCTTTGCCTACTTCCTTGCGTACGGGTGACGACCGCCGGTGGGGAGGTTTTAAAGTTTGGTCCCCCTCCGCACAGCACAAGTACAGCAGTACCTGCACCTAGAATATTGGGACTGTTGGTAAAGACGGTTTCAAAAATGGCGAGAAGCCGTGTATGTTTTACGACATGATGCACCAGGATACCCCGACGCGATCGAACCATGTTTTCCCTCCCGCTTTCTCCGGATTGCGTTTTCACTCAAATCAACCGCTTCAGCTGCGGATCCACCCCCCCCCCCCAAAAAAAAAAAAAACTCTTTCTAGACAAATGGGACCGCCAAATAACCGAACTCCCGTACCACGAACAATGCAATTTTCGGGCGAGGCCCGCCACGCATCAAACGTCAACATCACCCGTGCCAACAACCGTATCAAAAAAATCAGCAACACACCACTAGATAAGATAAGATGGGCTCGGCATGCCCAACAAGAGCGGCCGCCCCCTTTCTACTATTCAATGGGGGAATATGCCTAACAAAGTTAACAAAAATCAAGAGACACGCAAATTGTATTGATTCTCCTCTTGAAGGGAAAAAAAGGAGGAGGAGCATATGGGCCGCTGGGAAAGGCCACGTCTACATCCTCCATTGCCAACACACAACACACAAGTGTCGTTTGTTCCCGTCTGACTCTCTCGAACCCCCTTCGCAATAAAAAAGAAAAACAGACAAGCTTAAAAAAACGCAAGGGGCCAGTCAAACAGCTATATAGGATCCACCAGCTGGTAGCGAAGACGCAAACCAGTTCAAGTCGGAGCTACGCACGCCGGCGGCGTCGACCACGACCATCTCACCAACAACCATGGAATGTACTCCTACGCAAATCGAACCGGCGCACGAGGGTCGTCCGCCAATCAATAAATCCAAACCACCAGTCAACCAACCTACCCCACCCCCCACACGCAAGAGCAAGGCTTGCTCCTACACGCGGGGCCACTCGGCAACAAGAACAAATGAAAGCCCGGGCGTGTGGCGACAATGATAACGCACGCACCAAAACCACACGCCGCCGACTGCCTCGAGAACGGCTGCCTACCTGCCTGTCTGCTTGCTTTCCGCTTTTAGGGCGAGATTCCATGACCGGCACACTCCCTCCTCTCCCGACTCGACAACAAGAGAGGGAGAAAACACAGACACAGACACACAGACACACACATCCGCGCGCGGGTATTACACACACAAGACACAAACGAAACACAACCATCAACACACCCCTTTTCAGGAGGTAGTTACCGCGGCACTGCACCCCTGCTTTCGGGGGGTACCGCCGAATCCTTTGCGCATATCGTTTACTGTACTGGAACGGAGGACGGGAGGAAGGGACTGCGACTACCTGCAATCGACGCTGCTAAACCGACGCGGACGGTGTTATCTGGGCACACGCATATGCGTACGCCAAAAGAGAACCATTGTACAACCACCCCCCCCCCCCGCCCCCCCCCCCCCCGCCCCCCCCGGAAAAACCCCCCCCCCACCCCCCCCAACCGGGGAAAAAGGTCCCTTGACGGCCCGCGGGCCCCCTCCTGGGCCCCCCCGGAAAAGGGGGCCCCTTTCAAGCCCCCCCCCCCCCCCCCGGGGGGGGGGGAGGCCCCCCCCCCCGTTTGGGGGCTACTACTGGTCCCCTTCCCCGCAACCAAAAAACACTTTGCTTTCTGGGGGCCCCCCCCCCCCAAAAAAAACGAAAAAAAACGGGGTGGTTTCACGAACCGGGCCCCCCCCCACTTAAAAACTG